TTAACTGCTTTTCATTTTGCAGGTCTACTTACAGGAGACAAAGGGCAGCAGAACCAGCCACCTTTTGGGTGTCTGCAGCAAGTCGTGCCATCAGGACACATGGTATAGCTGTCACAGTAAACACCTGGACTTTTTAATTCTTCTGGGGAATTGCTTTGTTTGACCTCCTCAAAAGGGGTCAGAGAGAGGTCAGGGGTGCTCGGCACCTCTGCAGCCACTTTCCTTACAATCGGCATGGTGATCCATGGTTGGTATTGCTTCACACAGTTCTGAGTGGCAAGGTCACAGAGAAAACCTGAGGGACAGCAGTGGGCTAGGTCACTGCAGCAGACAGCCTTCACCAAGACAAATGCAAAGAGAGAGAATCAGTGACACCAGTTGTTTTTTTTTTTTTTAAGCCTACTACATTACCGCACCAGTGACTTAAATGTCTCTGTGTTTAAAAGAATGTGACGTACCTTTGGATACGGACAGCAGCTGTATCCACGAGCGGTTTGGCAACAGGTTTCTGTATCAGAGCAGGAGGCCCCATCGGGACATCTGATGGAGCAAGATGCAAAGCCCCACAGAAACATTCCTACACACAGCCACGCAGTCATCCGCAACATCTAATGGAGAGAGAAAGTCAGCTGCAGTTTTTAGAAATTTGATTGTTTATTTCAACAGGACAACACTGCAGTTCACAACACCTGTCCGAGAAAGGCCTCCTCCAGGACCATAATGTCTGGGTTTTTTTGGACCACCCTGCATGTTCCCCTGATCTAAATCCTACTGAAATATTGGGGATGGATGGGAAGTAAAGTTTGCAAAATGGGAACTAGTTCTAGACGACTGATGTCAGCATATGAGGCAATATTCCCACCAGGGTAAACCCGGTCACTTCCATCAAGCTAATTTTTAAATATGACCAATATGAATCGTTACTCTGCTTCTTTCTTGCTCCGGTTTCTTCTTTTTGTATTTTGATTAGCTTATGTAACAAAAATGACCCAACGACAGAAGCGCCAAGACCTTCTGAGCCATTTCACGTTAACGGCTTTCCTTGCTAGCATCAAAAGAGGCTGAGTCGTTTTCCCACAACCAACAGAAACCTTCTCAAACCAACACAGAAGTGGGTCTGCTGACATATGGCTTGTGGTGTTCAGTTCACTATGACTTGACAGGTTTAAGTTATGTCAAGTCAGTGATCATTGTAAGCCCTGTTTTGAGCCGTATTACAAAGTTACGAAGCATGGCCCGCTCAGAGTTGTGGGTCATGTTTACCCGCCAGTCTCATCGCCAAATATAGAAGAACTGGAGCATTTAAGCAGCCACCATAAATCTTTGGAGGGCTTAAGGTCGGGGCTTTGAGAAACATGCTGTCCTGTGTGTTGTGGGTCAGTTTTCTGTTGGAACGTCCAACTGTGTCCGAGGTTCAACCATTAATCCGAACTGCACCAAGCTACCACCATCAGATGGGAAATAATTCCAAAAATGAGTCATTGTCTACAACGTAAAAGAAACTGCAGAGAAACAGGTGTTTTAGTCTACTTTGAAGCCAGTCTTGGACCTAAGAGGATGTGAGAGAAGATAGAAACACCTGTCTCAAAATAGACAACTTCTAACTTCACTTCACACGCCACATCGACAAGTCAACTGTATCAGGAGAAATGTTTGAGACAAAAATCAAACATTGCACCAAGAATTAAGCAGCCATCGCCATGCTTAGTAATTTTTTTATGTGTGTTTGGGAAAATAATCCCAAACACACATTAACAAAACCAGCATTGAAACAGAAAATGACAGGAAGCCTATGAAGTGGTCCTGAACTTCCTGCCACTTATCCTAGGAATACAATTTATAACCGTTAAAGTCAAGTTTGTGGTAACCAATTCAAATTATATACCAAGATGATATACCCAGGAAGAATTATGCCTCACACTTGCTGATGTTGACAAAATGCTTGCAGCCAAAGTGAAACTTGCTCAGAGACATTCAACCAAATATAAACTAAATGGGTGTTTGTGTACATTTGGACCTGTATGTAAAGTTTTGAGCCCGTACATAAAAAAAAAAAAAAAAAAAAAAAAATTCACAAGGAATACGCACGCACACACACACGCACGATTCTTGCTGTTTAATATTCAGTAGCATTGCATGTCGTGTTTCAGGTCAGGTTGATGAAAAATAAACATCAGAACAGGATATTCAGACCAGTGACGTTCTTAAGTAAAGCTTTCACCGTAGCTGTAAATTATGGTTAATGAAACAGCTACATGTAAAAATAAAAATAAAAAATTCAAGGAGATTTATTGAAGTCTTACCTTCTGCCAGTGAAGTGATTCAAAAGCTTCCTGTCACAAGGTTCACACTTCCCTTAAATGGTACGCCACTCTTGCTCTTTGTAACAGAAAGTGGACCCTCCCTCTGCACACAGTCAAGATGAACGCTTTCGGCTCAACAGTGGAGATGGGCGTTGTAATCACTGTACGAGGCTACAGGCGCACATGCGATCTTTCAGTCACAAGACCGGTCCAAAAAGTCCAAGTCAAACACCATGAGGCTTCTAGATATGTAGAAACATGCCAAAGACACTCCAGAGTTTTTAGACTCTTATTTTAAAGATTACAGACATTTAGTCCTGGATTTGAACAGTTTACAAATCTTTATGCAAATGAATCTAAACTTAAAATTTTCATGTAACAGCATTTATCAAAAAGCTGTATTTCCACCATTTCATGTCAGAAATGGTTATATAATTAAGAGATTTTATGTTTTTTAATCAGGTTTTGAACCCCTTTATGTAAACAGTTAAAGAGTCAAGCTCCTCCATTTGGTCTTTTATCATTTCATGTTGTCAGTGCAATAAAATTACCTCCTTGAGAAACCCACACTTCCCTTTGCTTTTGCATTTCTGGAAAAATGAAACTGTTAGGTTTGCGGCATGTCTAAACCTGTTACTTGAAAAAGAAATGGAAAACGTTTTGAGCATCCATTATGTCTGAAACATGTAAAAACCTATAATAAGTTTAACTAAGTATAGAAGCCCACATTTTATTGCAGTTGACTCTTACTTTACTGTAAAGATCTTGTGTTTGCATTGGGTTGAAGGTTATTTCTGATTGACCTCAATCAGTTTTCCCTTCTCCTCGCTGCTTCTTCTTTTCCTCTTGGGTTCAGTCTGTGGGGAGCATAACCGCTTAAATGACACTGCAGAAAGAAGAAGTCTTGGGTTAGCTACACCCCAAGACAAAATAAAAAGCATGACTGCCTAGAATATTTTACTGTTTCACAATAAAGGAGTTTTAAAATCCAGGTCTAAGAGGAAGTTCTAAATCAGTCATCATTAATACATTTCAGACAAGAGTTTTGTTTCCAACTGCTAAATGAGCAATGCAACCTTAAAAAATAAAAAATAAAATAAATTTTCAGTTGTAATGTCTCCTTTAAACTTAAATTAAAAGGGAGGATGCATTTTACCAAAAATATAATTAATTTAGATTATTATTTTCAAATAGAAAACTATCTTTTTTTTAATAGAGTTTTTGTAAAGCAGTTTTATGGCATTAACAGGAGGACGTATCGAAGGATCAGTTTGAATCCTTGCCCAGTTGCCGTCCATCTCTATGGCAACCAATGTTTGTTCTGGTTGTGCACGTTTCCGCAGCCTCCATGGTTGCACAGCGTTTTGAATCAGACAATCCCCACAGAATCAGGAAATCAGACAAGGAGACTCATTGCTTTTTCATCTGGACAGAAGGATGCGAGCTACCAGCGCTGCTATTAGATCAGTTGGTTAAAAAAAAAAAAAAAAAAAACAGCAACGCTGGTTTACATGCTGCATGTGTGCAGTTGGAGGTAGAAACCAGGGTGAACAGAGTTAAAAATGCAGCACTGCACTTACTGTGGAAAAGCCTCAGCACCAGCATGAGCACCAACCACCATTAACAGGAATGTTTTGATATCTTATTATCTCATAATATCCTACATGTTGATGCTTGTACCATCTGACTCTTCTGCACATCCTGTGCTGGTTGTTTGTCTCAGGCTTACCTAAAAAAAAAGGCCTGGAAAATATAAAATACAATGCCTATAAAAATCATTCACCCCCTCTTGGATGATTTTGCCTTTTTATTGCTTTAACTAATCAGTCATGATCAACAAATTTGACATTTTTTAACAATAAATATTTCTACAGAATAATTACAAATATTCACCTCCTTCAAGGTAGAAGGTAAAAATATAGCAGAACATATAGTCCTGGAGAACAACTTGTTTCCATCTGCAAGAGAACTGCAGCTTTGGAGAATATTTGTTTTCCCAGCATGACAAAGACCCGAAGCACCCAGCAGAAATGGTGTGAAGACAACTAGAAAGATGTTCTCGAGTGGCCTAGTGAAAGCCAAAAACTTCAATCCAAGAGAATTCATAGCAGGACTTGAAAAGGGCTTCTGACAACCGATCACAACACAACCTGACAGCAGGTTAACGAGAAGAAACTGCAGTGTCCAGATGTGCACACCTGACCGAAACGTCTCCACACAGACTCCACGCTGTGATTGCTGCCAAAGATGCATCTAACATATACCGACTTGAAGGTGGTGCATATTTATGCAGTCAGCTATTTTATGCTAAATTGCATAATTTTACTTTCATTGTTTTGCAGAAATCAGTTTTCTTTTTGACAGGAAGTGGGGGGTTTTTGGTAAAAAAAAAAAAAAAAGAAAAAAAAAAAGAAAAGAGACCAACTTTGTTGATCACAAGTGATTTGTAAAACCAACAGTGAAGGGTGAAACATTGAAGGGGGTGAATACCTTTGGTAGGCACTGTAAACTATAACATATGTTGTCTTGTTTTCCACCTAACGTAAGAGCCACGTTCATCTGAACAAACGTTCATCTGGCTCATCCTGCAGCCTGCTGTGCATTGAGGGTGCGGTTCAAAACTTGAGCAAAGATGATATCTAACTGAAGGCTTACATCCATGAGTAATTCATATCCTCAGAATACTACAACAACAGAGAAAGTCACATGAATGCTTTATTGTTCCTTGCAGCTAAACATTCACCTGAAGTAACATAAAGGCAGGAAGATTATATACGACAGTCGTGATCATCAGTACACAACCTGAGCGAGACAGTGAGACACAATGAGATTTTATTGGGAATGTTTGCCTATCATTAGAGAAAAAAGTGGCCAAGTAAAAACGAATAATGTGATTTGAGTATTTTTGGTGTGTTCCTGTGGTCGTCGTCTTCCGTCTCCGGCATGTGGTGGAGAAGGAGGCTCCATAATTTTACGCTGATCGTCAGAAACCCTGAAATTATATCCAGTATTAGAGATAAATAGGGACAAATCTTTTACACTCAACACATTAATTTCTATATAGCTGGTAAAGAAAGACTTTGGTGGGACAACTAATAGTCCCACCACATCTGGAAATGTGCAGTATGACAGGGCTGAATGTCAAAATTCAACCCTAAGCCGTACCTGTTAGTTAGGACAGCAGTTCCACTGGCCTTTGAGTCCCTTACAGCAACGTGAACCATTTGGGCAGTAAAACTGTTCATCACAGCGAGTAACTCCCTGCTCACTGGCCTGTCTTAGAGCTGTAAATACTGTCTGTAAAAATAAGGACAACTTCATCATTATTATTTTTTTTCTTCTCTCCTAGCTACATATTTTAGCATCAGTATGTTTCATGCGCAACACATTAATACGACAGTTTCAAAAATATGAATCCTCCAAGCACTTGAAAATGTGTTTTTGTTTCACAAAATGCGGCATGTTAACGTAATGGGGCAGGGCTGTACATATTTTGACCACAAGGGGGAGCAGTAACAAGGAGATGAAAGGGAAAAAGAGAATGGTTAAAAATCACAAGGCTGCCACTAGTATGTTTCACCATGGGGATGACGTGTTACATCAGAGCCTTTGGTTGTAACATCATAACGTGATGAAATTAAAACCTCGTGAATACTTGTGCAACGGATTATAGCTAAAGAGAGAGTCACAGATTTTACCTCCTGCTCATGGTTTTGGTCTTCAGCAGCTGCAAGGAAAGAGGCTGGGACTGAAGTCAGAGCTTGTTTGTAGTTGAACGGATACTCCAGGCCTTGCCTGATGCAGTGAGTGTAAGTGAAATCACAGTCGTAACCGTACGGGCAACAGTGGTAGCCGTCCAGGCAACATCTCCCCTACAAGACAACAGACGCAGTGATGTTCAAAAACGGTAGAAAAGTTGCCAAACAAATCCGTAGGTGGTGAAAGAAAATACAGCAGGTAAAATTTGCATTCCGCTTTTGTTTTTTGTTACCCTTTACTCCGTTTGTGAGCTCAACTGCTTTTGATGTGTTTCTAAGTGAGGAGTACTCGAGTTGCTCTGCTGTGAATTTTAAGCCGATGGCTTCATTAGAAATATTTTAAACTTGTGCAAACATCGACGTGTTGGCTTCTTATCCTCGCTATGTCTCCTATCAGTTCCTTTGTGACAAGAAACACTTTTCAGCTCACAGATCTACTCACAGGTGAGTATGGACAGCAGAACCAGGCGCCCTTCGGATGTCTGCAGCAAGTCGTGCCATCAGGACAATAATAATAGTTGTCACAGTAGACGACTGTGCTCTTTATCTGGTCAGGGACGTTGTCGTCTTCAACGTCCTTCAAGGGGATCAGAGACAGATCGGGTGTGCTCGGAACCTCCGCAGCCACTTTCTCCACCATCGGGATCCTGATCCATGGCTGGTATTGCTTCACACACATCTGCGTGGCAAGGTCACAGCGATATCCGTAGGGACAGCAGTGGGCCTTGTCAGTACAGCACACAGCCTGTAGAAAAAAACAAAACAAAAACACTCAATAAGAATAACCGGCACCAGGTGTTTAAAGGTCCCGGTGGCTGAAGGCATGCGGCTTTACCTTTGGATATGGACAGCAGCCATATCCATGAGCAGTCAGGCAGCATGTCGACGAATCAGCACAGGTAGTCCCATCGGGGCATTTGACGTCACAGAAAGCAGAGCCCCACAGGAAGACTCCGACACACAGCCACAAAGTGGTGCTCAACATCTGGTGGAGAAAGGGTGACAGCTGGTTTTGTTTTTAATTTTTGTGCCATAACCTTTGCATTTCAACTTTTGCCCACAGGTCTAGACAAAGTAACTGGATAGTTTCTAGTAAATTGCTTCAGAGTAAAACAAAAAAGAAAAAAAAAAGAAGTTGATTTTAAGATATTTGTAATTTCTTACCTTCTGCACACGAAGTGAATACAACAGCTTCTAGTCACAAGGTTGGCAAGTTGCTCTTTATATGCAACACCAGACACTCCCATTGATACAAAGCCGGAAAAGCCCTTCTTTAGGTCTGTTGATTAATTATTTGCAGGGTGGAAAACACTCCCACAAAAACCTATCTCGAGGAGCATGACATACATTACGAGGTGGCATTATTGACCTTTGGTACATCACACCGTTTCCCAGTCACAAGACTCAAGCACAATAGCGCTTCAAAACATTGTTGACTGAGTCTAATAAACCTGGATTTCTTCACCCCACTGGGAACTTTTCCTACATCACCCTGAGCTTGTGCAATGGTTTCAATTACACAATCAGGTTTGCTTTTAAAGCAGCGCAACTTTAATGATTTAGTCTCATCTCATGCACAGATTTCTCTAGGTTTACATAATTTACTTTAAGGTACAAATTCCCCAGAAGTCTTAGTAGCTAAGTCTGTTTTATTTTTAAGTGCAAGGGGTTTCATCTCCAGCAAATCTGAAACACTCTTAAATCTTTTTTTACATTCATGTCACCGCACAATGATGCAATTTCTACACGACTGTTGGGTAAATTATCTGCTTCCGACTTCATTTGTGGTTCATGAGTGACCCGATAACAAGAAATGCAACATTTTAGCTTGTATACAGAATTTGTCTGTACGAAGTGGTTCTTAATTCACTTCACTTCTCGTGAAGATCTACCAAATTGTTGAATGGATTTTGCTCATCAAATCATCAAAAGACTGGAGTTATCCATGTTCCACATTTTCCTACCAAATGCTTTTCATCCCCTCAAATTCCTACAAATATGCTGTTTTTCACAAGTTGTCTAAAACAGTTTTTTTTTCCAATTTATCCATAGTTATACAAATTACAATAAAGACCTGAAATATTTCAAAGTGTAAAAAAAAAAATCGACATACTTCTTTCTTAAATGACTGATGTAATATAGATTTTTTTTCCTACAGTATTTTCATGTTTTTAGCTCTACTTGTACACATAAAACATTTAGGAGTTTATTTTAAGTGAAACTTGGCCTGGACGATATTGTGGTGTCAAATATGTTACACAATCACACCCACACGAAAAAAAGAAAGTCATCACTTGTATTACACTTGAAGTTCCAACCAGATAAAGCCAAAAAAAAAAAAAAAAAGTTAAAACAACACTTTTTATTTGTTGAATACGTTTACACTGCAATGTAACATCTCGCTGAACAAAACAAGAATCTCTTGAGTTCACTATTACCTGTGTGGCTAACATCCTATAACAGATCCAACTTCAATATGAGGCTGGCAAGACATCAGGAACTACATGCATGACACAGGCACCGGCAGAACAGCCTTGTGTAGTGGTGGGTAATGTGAGGTATGAAGTGGGAGAGAGGGGGGGGGGGAAGCATACAGACTTAGAGCCAAATGCATGGGAAAGAAACATAATAAAATCTCAATCCTCAAAATCTACAAAAAAAAAAACCTTGCTGGAGAGAAAAAAGATGTACCGGTAGTTCCCTCATCTCGACTCCACATACAGAAGAACCTCAGCATTACGTCTTATGTCCACCTTTTTTCAATCCTGACGACTGCAGCCAGGTGAGAAACGTTTTCCACAATCGAAGGCAAAACAACACCGGTGAAGTGTGAGGAAAACAGGAGCACTGTGATGACGCGGCTTTCAGTCAAGCTCCGAGTCCGACTGAGACGTCGCCTTCTTTTTCTTTTTTCTGCCGTGCTTTTTGTGCTTCTTTTTCCTCTTCTTCTTGGATTTTACCTACAACCAGAAATACGTTTTGTTCAACAAATAATTTCGCCTGTATACAACACTCTACGTGAATTAAAATGCCAATGTAAAAAATAATAAGACGACACTTGTTTTTGTTTTTCTGAGGGGAGGGGAGACAATAACTAACATTGCTTACAGTGAATTTTACAGTGAACTTCTCCCTCTCCTCGCTACTTCTCTTTTTCTTCTTGGGTTCAGCCTATAAAAGTAATAAAAGTTGATCAATGTTCGGCTACGACAGCTCCTAAAATATTACTGTCGGTAACGTCTCCTGATTTACAGCGAGGGAAACTTGAGCAGTTTGGCCTTCGCAGAACTTCTAAACCACACAGCAGACATGAATTCTGCACGACGTACAACTGAATCAGTCAGTTCCTGCGATAATAAAATAAATGCAACAATAAAAAAAAATACCTCGTCCCAATCTGAGACAACAGTCGATTCTGATGAGGAGTCTTTGTGACTTCTCTCTGTCTTCCTTTTCCTTTTACGCTCCTTTTCATCCTGATGGAGGCGAGGTTTACCATCATTTTTGTAACGTTTCAGTGACTTTAAATCTTTTATAGCTTTCTGGACCAAGCAAATTACCTTGTCTTTCTCTCCGTCTTCCCTGATTCGTTTCCTTTTCTTAGGAAAGAAATAGAACAGTTTTAAGATGTTTTGTTTTTACCCAAGTGCCGTAAAAAAGGGGAGAATGGGTCATTCTAAAAAGAAAAAAAAACCTTGATTTCGACATCCGAATCGTCGCCCGAGACGTCCGATGGTCTCTTGCCTGACGATCGCTTGCGCTTCCGTTTTTTCTTTATGCTCTTCTTTTCATCCTGTGTTAAAACATGCAAATTCGTTTAAAAAAAGATTATTCAATTTGTGTTCGGTGGTCACAAAACGGCTGACCAACTGGTTTGCAGGATTGAAACTGGGACAAAATTTAAATCCTAGACTAGACTAATGCTTACCGGCACTAACCTCATCTACATCTACAGCTAAAAAAAAAAAAAAAAAATCTGAATCTCTTATTAGACTAGATTAATGATAGTGGGCTTTATTTCCAATCAAATTTTGAAGACACCGCTTCGTAATCTCTCAAAAACATGTTGAATTTACGTAATCAAAAAGTCGACACTTTCAATTACTGACATTATTAAAATCCAATCTGACCAGGATACCTCTTTAAACAATTCTGTCATATGTATTCATATTGGCTTGACTTACCTCGTCTTCGGACTCTGAAGAAGAGCTGCTGGAGGAATCAGAACTCGATGAGGAGGAAGATGAAGAATGCTTGAGCAAACACATTAAAAGCAGGGTTCATGAGATTTGAGCCAGTACAATTGACTGTAATTAAGTGGATTAAGTCAGATTTTTACAAATATGGAAACCGTGTATTTATGTGTGTGTGTGTGTGTGTGTGTGTGTGGGAGGGAAGAGGATTAGTGCGGTAAAGTTGCCAAAAAAAAAAAAATACTGGAAGTCTCTCCTCACCCTGCTAGACTTCTTCTTCTCCTTCTTCTTTTTCTGGATGCGTGTGCAAAAGCAAAGAAGCACATGGTTGAGTAAGCGTGATTCAATGGGATCCTCATCCAAAAATCTGATTACACACCTCCTTTTTGTCTTTCTTGTCCTCACTGTCCATGGACTTTTTGTCCCGTTCTTTGTCGCCAAGCCTTTTTTCTCGGTTTTTAGCCAGCTCTCTCCTCCATCTCTGCAAACAACATCGCAGAGGTTAACAAAAGGTGCGATTCGTGCAGATCAAGGGGCATTATTGCAACTTTAACGTTATCCATTTATTAACAAGAGAAGCTAGTAAAATATTTGGTCGTGATCATTTGATGCGTCTAAACCGCTGACTGCTGCTGCACAGACAGGCCTGTGGAATCAGTGGAGGTTATACTTCAACGTTACCTCATTCATTTTGTCTTCAAAGTCAGCCAGGGCCCGAGATCCCTTTTTCTTCTTCTCCAGCTGCTCCTTTAGCTCTTCCCTGTTCGACACAAAGCGCATCGGCTTCAGAATGCGACAACCTTAAATTTTTCAAAAATAACAGCCACATGAAATCATGACACGTAATGATTTTCAAGCACAGAGTTCACTTCAAACCAGACATAGGGATTAACTTTGTGCAAAAGTTGCATTTAAGTAATGGTTAACGCTTAAGAAATGCTCTATATTCATGTCTTTTATAAGGAGGTCATGTCATGGGATGATTTTTGCAGGACAGAAGTTTTCTGCTGACAGGCAGCAAAATCATTTTACACCTCCTGTCTTTTATTGCCATTTATGCTTTCAGAGGGGAAGCGTGGTGCATCTCACATTTTAGATGGACACATAAAGGACAACGATACCTGTGCTTGTGGTTTAATTCACTCAATATATAATTACAAAGGAATCCATAAACAAAGCAGTCACATGTAGCTTTTAAATAGTAAAAAAACAAAAAAAAAAACCTTATTTCCTCTTCTCTCTTGGCAGCCCTAAAATAATGCTGTGGCCTGCTTATTAAAATCCGTGAGACAAAAGAATGACTCAACAGTTTTCTTCATCTATACCACAATAGCAATGTCAACAAGAATATTGTTTGGGACTAGTATGTTTGCTATTATATCCAGAGTGTCGGTAATTCACAGGGTGAGAATTACACACCCCATACACACTGCAGGTGGGGTCTCATGTAAGCAAACTTATTTGTCTCATCTTGTTTTCTGTTGCCAACTAACCATGTTGGTCGAGGCCTGCTTAAGTAATCCTGTATAGTCGGTCCGGAGTTCTGGACAGGCCCCTTGGCTCGAGCAGCTGCAATAGGGTTTATGTATGCCTGAAAAACGACAGAAGACCATTGTTATAATGTTATAAGGACACTATAATATTAAGAAAATAACTCTGGAAGAATATCAAAAGCATTACTGAAAGAAAGAACCACAATGCCATAAATTCAACAAAACTACTGTCCTCTAAGTAAGACCCAAATGGGCAAAACCGTCCTTTACGATCAACTTTTATATGAAAACACTGCTTGTGTTTTCATATAAAAATAAAATTACTTTAAATGAACAAATGAAAAACAACATTTTAGCTAACAATCTGTGCGCTACTGAAAACTTAAATGAGGTTTCGTTATTTATTTTCCCTTTGGGACCAATGAAGTATTTTTTAATTTGAATCATTACATTTAAAAAAAAAAATTAGAGCAGAGTAATTATCTTTTTTTTCCTAGTCAAAAATGAAACTTGAGCTTTCTGAAATGAAAAAAACAAACAACAACAACATATAAAACACTAAATATTTCCAGAAGTGATTGTTTAAAGATATAATGGAAATACATGCACTGCATGAACAAATAATTCAGATTTTTTTAAAACCAGGGCAGCCATTTATTCTCTGACTGCTTCGTTCATATGCACAAAATAAATAAAAAAACCCACAAATCGGCTTTACACTAATATCTATCACCATTAGAGCAATATCAATGTAATAAAATCAGCAAGAAAAACCACATTAGAAGACTTATAAAGTTTTAAGCTGAAATGTGACAGCTTGGCATATTTGCATCAGCTACTGTTTACGCACTGCACAAATGAAGAGTTAGCATTGTAGCATAAAGCTATTCATTTCAGTGACACAATGCCTTGTGTTAGATAAATAGACCTTATGTTTAATCAACTGTACTCCCCTTTTGCATTTAACAACAGCGACGTGTTTATTTAGCTTGACATATTCACTGAAAAAAAAATGCTTCGTAGATATCAATGCTAATGCTAATGCTAAAACTGTTTTTCACCCGAGACGTTTGACAAATGATTTTGAGCAAATTATTTTTACGTTTATTTAAAAGCTAACTTAAGTTACACTCACCACTCGATTGTCTCTTTTGCCCATATCCAGCCAATGATGAGAAAAAACATTAGAGTTACTTTACTATCATTGGGCTAACCACTGCATAGAATGAAGCTAACGGCTACATGTACTCTTCTTCGACTTTACGGTACTCACAATCAGTGTCGAGGCAATACTGCCACCTTCTGGGGGTTATTATGCGTCTTTTTTCCACAAACTGGATTTTGTATAAACAACAAATGAAAAAAAAAGATAAATTCCGACAGTAAAAGTAAAAACATTTCTACCTACAATTTAACAGTATTACTAAATTTAGCCTTTACTGGGGCAAAGCTGCTGCCAAGGACCCCAAGGTTAGCAGGCAGTTACTCCAGAGACTTAAACCCCCCATAATAACAACAACAACAATAAAATAATAATAATAATAATAATGATAATAACCTATAGTAAACACGGTATACAACTAAAAAGTAACAATGAAAAGGGTGTTATGGTGATTTATTGAACCACATTCATAGACAAATAAAAAAAAAAAAACATTTGCAAAATTCTGCATTTTATTCAGCTGGTGCAACACCATATTATGACACCAATGCATTCATACATTATGCCAATCTGACTGATATGATGTATTTATGTATTCCATATTCCTTGTTTTGAAACTGTTAAACTGCTTTTAAACATGAACAACTGACATGAGATTTAAATGCGTTACATGGCGAGTCTTAGAAATGATTGCATGAACTTTGATGACAAAAACTGTCATTAGTTCAATTATAAAACACTATTTCTAAAGTAATTATAGCTTTATAATTATGCAGCTTTATTATGGAGCACTTAACATCAGAAATCTTGCTATCAAATAGAAAATGAACACAGTGTTTAGTTAAGCAGATCTATTATGCTCGCCTTTCGGCAAATACAAGTTGCTGGTAATAACAGTCTATTTCAAACAGAAACAACTACAGTAACATAATGGATAAATAGTATTAACAGTAGACTATAATCAAAGACACCATTATGAGACAGCTTGAGAGGAAACCTGAAAACCTGAAGGAATTGTTATGTGGTCACTTAGTAAGCCAAGAGATGTGCAAACTGTGCCCAAGAGATTTGGACATCCAGAAAAAACCTGAGAGAGTTGAAAAATGAGTGTGTTTGTGTGTGTGTGTGTGTGCTAGTAGCACTACCTGTTAGAAAAAAACATAAACCAACCAGTGTTAAATTGTTACTGTTCCGCAAGAACTACAAAATACAAAAATACAGCTCTGCATAAGTTGCCTTTTCCTTGATCATTTACAAGAAACAAAGAAAAAAAAACAAAAAAAAAAAAAACGGAATTGCAATAAAACGGCACATTAATGTAAAAGCAAAAACTGTAAATAAAAATGTGTTTATCATCTCGTTGTTAACACTACTGTAAAATTCATAGCCACAATCAATCCACAGCAAAGGAGATCCGTTAATTCCACCCAACAATTTCAAGAAACAAAATGTTCTCATCACACAACTTTCCACAGACCTTCGCCTACTCTACGTACACCTAGCCACTTTTATGACATATCTATGTGCTTCATCGACAGCTTCTGTCGTTGCACCTAGCTAAATACACTGTACAGTACCAATACCTAGTTTCTACACATTCCTTGCACAAACTCTGATCGTGAGCAGAGTCGGTGCACTTGGTGTAAGAATACCGTATGCCCAGCTTATTAAGAAAAACTCTAAAAAGAAATACATAAAATCCAGTAAAAAGCATATAAGACTTGTCAATAAAATTAAAATTAAATACAGAATATTTTTTTTGATAACACTTTGCCAAATGTTTCATAATGAATAGTGCTGGTGGGTCTTTATCCACAGAAAGCAAGCCTGTGCATTACGCTGTCGTTTAGATTGTAAATAAGTGAAACTTATAATGATAAAAATCCCACAATGGCACAGAAAGAGTCATTCAAAAGTCTTAAAGTAAGTGGCAGGATCAGTTTTCATTGTCTCAGCACCGTTACGATCAGCCTATTGAGTCTTTGAAGAGCGCAGCAACCATTAGAATCCTGCTACTGGTTTGTCTGCAGTTACTCTAGATACCCACAAGATGGCAGCAATATTATAGTTAACATTAGAATGACGAGGAACATGGCAGTGAGAGGCTGGCTTGTGATTCCTTGTGACTTTATAGGTACATGAGCATGCTTGGGTTGAGTACTTGCGAGCGCACTCCCATTGTTCGTCCCCTTACGGCACACTTCCACAGTGAGCATGAAGGCAGGTAAGATCCACGCTGTCCTCTTCGGACCCTGTCTGGTCCTCAAGACAGGAGGGCAGTCTGAAAAGTCTAAACACTGGTCATGAAGAAGCTTCAGCCTCTAAAACTTGTCCGGCCTCTCGACTATTCTAGGAGTCGATATAAGACACAGGCCTGTATTTGCATTGTTAAGATAACATTTCACAACCTAAAAAGCAGCAATTAAGATCCACTGGTTCTCGGGAGGGCAGCTTTTGTGCATGGTTCAAGGGCATGATCTGCTTTCATGCCTTCTTGCTATCTTGTTTTTTTTTTGTTTGTTTTTTTTTGTTTTTGTTTTTGAAGGAGTGTTATACATTGAATATAAAAAGTATTTCCCTCCCATCATTCAATTATATTTTACATTTATATGACACATAAAACTGCAGTTAATTAAGCTTTTTGACATGCAGACACACTGGCTGTCAAAAAAAAAAAAAACCCTGATAAAATGTTGTTTTGAAATGTAAAATGTGAAATTTATCTTGCATAAGTCAAGTGAAAACATTCGCGGAAGAAGGGTAAAAAATAAAACAAGCTGCAATGATCTTGTTGCATAAACTGAAGGTTTGTGAAAACATGTTTAGGTTCAATTTCAACAGTTTTTGAAATTGGATTCACCAGCATCATGGTGAATCCAAGGCTATAGTCAAAGAATAATAATAAAAGAAGATTTCTGTCTTCTGTTCATTCCACATACTCTTAAGGATTTGACAAGGTAAAAAGGGCAGATACTGCCAAGTGAATTTGTGGGATACTGATGCACTCCTACCAAAGAAGACTGACTAGTTTAAGTTGATCAAAGGATGCATCAATAAAGTTAGATCAGTTTAAGAGTTTGAAAACTTTGAGCGACTTATCCGTTGGATTGCACAGAATAAATGCCAGGTTTTTTTGAACGATTTAACATGGTTTCCTGTTTAACATCACAAAAATCCTAATGTCTAACAAGTAGATGTCAAAACCTCTGCATAGAATGACCCTAAATAAGGCCGTACCTCTGACTGAAGCCATCACTGTTGGCTGAGGGGATCGGGCTCATGTTTCTTAAATTAAATATACCTGCATCTACAAAGGAGCTTCTGCAAACTAAAGAACCTTTACTGTCTTATTGGAAATTAAAAGTAAGGTAAAGATAAAAGAGGACAGCATTTTGGTATGCTAACTTATGCCTACCCAGATGCTGGAAACGCTATGTTGAAATAGCTTTTTTTTTGGCAGAATGCTTAGGATTTGTTAGGATCAAAAATGAATTAAATACAACTCCAGAAGAAACCTTACAACCCAAGGCAATAGGAGAACCTTCAAGCGGTCTAAAACTAGCCAGCTAAAAAAAACAAAAAAAAACAAAAAACAAAAAAAAAAAACAGCGCTGGAGACCAAATCAAATGTATTATGACATTTGATTTGGTCTGTTAGCATAAAAGGCTAACGTTTATGCAAGGGGGCATCTTAAAGACTGTCTTCCACTGGCAAGTGTCAAAAAGCTTAATTAATGGTTTTCGGTAAGCTAGACACCCAGAAATACAAAATGGGTACAAAAATACTTCTTTTAGCCACTGCTTGGGATAGTTGCAGGCGTAAGGAGGACTATCAGGCTGTCCTCTCCTCAATAGTGGGTTTGTTGCTGGGGATTGAATGGGTAGCGTACAGACTCCTGCTGTTACTGTCCACGCTTTGAAAGTAGGGGTGAGTCAACGCAGAGAAAGCAGATATCCTCCTGGAGGGGTTGAAGGTGAGAAATTGCTACAGAGGTTGGAGAAAATTGAAAAAAAAAAAAAAGTAAAAACAAAAGAAAAAGAAGTCAAGAAGGAATAGTTAGTTAGTCAGAAACATTCTTACGATTTGAAGAGAAATTCATTTTGCTTACCATTAACAGGCCTCGTCCGTCCTCATCCATGTCTGGCACCAGGTCTTCTATTGGCTTTGGGGGTCGGGGTGTGAAGGCGCTCTGTGGTAAGGCCACTTCTTGAGGCCAGTCGTCTGGTGAAGGTACTCCAACAACACTGTTAAACGATAAAAAGATTATCAGTAATTCATTTGTGTCAATAACAGACTTTTAGGCACAATCCATTATCATGAGAAGGTTTTTTTTTGTCTTATTTTGAAGCAAATTATACTCATACTTACTCAAAGATCTTTCCCAGCTGATCTACATCAGAGTTTCCTCGAAAAAGGGGTCTAGAAAGGGAATAAAAAGAACAAGTCAGTTTCGCTGCCATCTGTACGACGTTGCCACTGATTCTCTGCGGAATACAAGCTTCAGAGTCCAAATTTCTGCTGTAGGTGAACAGAACTCATATACCGGCTTTTGACTCAAGGCGATAGGAATGTGAGAGGCTGATGTGAACGTTTGAAGTCCACATGTTGTCAGGATTGTGGAGCAGCGTTGGTAAGACCACTAAAGACAGGAAGGAGGGAACCAGGATGAAAAGAGGGAGGGGAGCAGTAGCAGGACTGCTGGTGGTTCCTGTGGCTTTGGGCAGTCTTCGGATACTCGTGGGCGGTCACGGCTCGGGCCTGGCACTCGCACAAATTCCAGTAGTCATCATCAGCACAAGCCTACCAGTCGCCTCGCAGGATAGAAAAAAGCCTGTTTAGCTCCTACATGCTTCAGCTTTGGCTCCCGGCTTCATCGATGTGAGTAGGCAATTGGGACCGAGACGCTTATGAAAGAAAAGTTGGATTATTGTAATGCCGAAAGAGCCATGGGAATGAGACTTTCCTGTTCAAGTTTCTCTGAGAGGGAAGGAGGGAGAAGGGCTTCAATGAACCTATTCACCTCAAATCTCGAGGCACAGCTGTGGGAAATCGGACGTTTCTGAATTACTGAAGAGTAGAAAAAAACCCTTCAAAGTAAAAAAAAAACGTTTGCCGCACAACGACGACGCGTCCGCACCAAAACTCAGATTGATATGCAAAGAGACTCTTTGAAGACATTCACGCAGAAGGAACATTTTCACAAATTACAAACAGTTACAAATATCTCTATTTTAATAAAACATGACGATAAAAAAAGTGCAAAGCGGGAGCATGACTGTGAAGCCATCTTTTGCAAATGAAAACAGTCATACTCAGTATGAAAACACCCATTCTTCTGCAACCACCAACAGGTTTCCTTCCATTTCCAGAGTTCCACTGGTTTTTAGCTCCATCCATCTTTCCAACAACTCTGACCAAACTTCTCTCTCTCTGCTGAAGAAAGTAGCGTAGCGCGATGGTGCCACCACCATGTGCCATCAAGGGAGGTGTGTTGAATTTGACGTGCAAATTTTAGTTTTCTTCCAGAGACACTGTTTTTCCACATGGGTCAAAAACTAAGATTTTTTTGTCGGAACAAGCCACCAAAACCTCCTTCCATGTATTTGCTTCGTCTCCTACGTGCTTTATGTCAAAAAGCACACGCCGCTTTTTATAGTCTTTGGATTTATTTTTGATTCAAAACAGATTTGTGCACAACTAGTAGATGACCTACGGATAAAAAACACGTCTTGCCCAGTTTCCATAGTCTTTCCATTTTTGAAGAGCTGGTTGAACAGAGCTCTTTGAGATGTTGAGTACTAAGGATTCTTTTACAATACTTCAAGGACTTCCTTCCATTTCTTGTTGAGATGCTGTTTGCTCATTATTATTGTCCGACCAAACCTCTGAGGCCTTTCCAGAAATACTGTTGATATACTAAGATGAAAGCTAACTGTAGAACATTTACTAATTAGGTAAATAAAGTTCATGGAGCATGAATTTTTTTTTTTTTTTTTTGCAAGGTGCTGGTCGTGTATTTTGCCTTTTGGCCTGGGTACTGTTCAAATGCACCTCACTTGAGCAAAGTCAGCAGTAACCTACCAGCCACCTTGTACTTCCCTGTGTTTTCCCACTTGCAGGAAGCTTTGCATAGCTGAACACCCACACTTTCCTACACAATCAAAGTCTGGAATATTTTTCACCCGAGCCTGTACAAAGAAAGCAGCCTCTAAGCTCTGGCTTAGAAGTTAAAATCTGGCACGAGATTTCATTTTAATTATGTGAGTCTACCCTTTTTTTTCTTTTTTTTTTCTTTTAATCAACAAATGTTTCTTTGCTGCTGAACCACCGCAAGGACAAAATGCCCCACGTGAAGTCTTTTGAATAAAGCTTTTGATACGCATTTTAAGATCAGACCAAACCAGTTTCTGAAAGTTGAAAAAAAAAAAAAAAAAAAAAGAATCACCTACAGCAAGTTATCATGCCAAAACAAGTAGGGCTGATAATTCCAAGAGGTCCATTTTTAAACCTAGACCGCTTTGTTGGTTTGCGGTGGAGGATAAGTGGGAATAGCTCACCTAAGTTTGACTGCTGGCATGTGCAGCGTCAACAGTTTGACGCAACTGTGCATCGACACGTTCTCAATAAAATACAAATACACAGACTGCGAAAATGCAAAGTCAAGCAATGGGACTAGAGAGTCCTCTCGAAAGTTTGCAAAATGCACCTCACATTCGCATTTTAAATGCATGAGCAGTCGAAGAGTGACACGAGGTTAGGACAGGCAGCTGAGTCACGCTTCCTTTAGTGCCATTTCGGCGCTGTCCCACATTCCACTGAGGCAACCTCTGGAATGTGTGCACATGTTTGCACGTGAGAGCGTCAATCTGTCTGAGGGCGAAATAGACAGAAATGCAGTTTTTTTTTGGTTGTTTTTTTATTTATTTATTTATTTTTATTTTTTTTTTAGAGAAAATGCATATTCCGCTTTGACTGCATGGACCAGCAAGTGCTGCGCAAGCTTTGGTCGTTTCCTACGTGTCAATCTGTGTGAACATGTGGACATGACTGTGCTCCGCAGAGGATTTATCAATCGAGTCTCAAGCTGTGAGAAAGTCAACAAGGATGTAGGGCCTCTCCCAGACCATTAACACACCACGTTCAGGCTTTTCGATTTGTGGAATGTCAACATGCAGACGTCCTCTCCCTTATTCTCTTGAAATATGAGTCAGAAATCATCCTTGCCATGCAGATGCAGACTTGTATAACATTTGCTTAAATTTCCACACACTGTATTCTTATGATGGCGTGCAGTTGTTTACTTTTTTTCTTTTGGTCCACAAAGGCACGTTAGGATGTTTGGAAAGAAGATAAAAGAAAGTAGTAATGGGGAAAATTTAAAGGTATTGAGTCCTTGTAAAAGTTTGGACTTTTCTGTAACATGAGACAACAAAGAACATGGAATGCTCTAAACTAAGATTGCAACCCGTGCAAAATTTAAACAAAACGTGGAATTTATAAAGCGTGTGGACGAACAGCTCCAGAGACATTTGACTTATAACCTTTACACGCAGTTTAGGCGCAAGCTAGTATGAGTTACTGTGTTTCTTCATCGTCGTCTTTTCTGCACTTTCCCCTAAATCTTCCTTTTGCTTTCTTTCACCACTTCTTCCAGGTGTCCTTTAATCTCCGACAGGTGTCCTTTTAAAAAGCCATCTTTATCGCTAAAAGAGTGATATTTGCGTTCACGGTCATCAAAGGACTCCGCCTCACCTTCCAGCTCAAAGGAAAACTGGTCAGGTGCCAAAATATGAAGACACCCACATTTACAAATACACAGCAAATCTTTTAACAGCTTTCTCTGTCAAACTGGGAGACAAAAGGAAACCCTAGCCCAGATGACACACACAGTCTACGACCTGCTGTCAAGGAGGAATTTCCAACAAAGAGACAAGGTCTCTTTGTTTCTGACAGAGCTCCATATAGGAAAGGACATTTTTAAGCAAACATTAAAAGACGTTTGTATATGCTTTATGGATTGCAGCAGGTATTTGAAGTGCTACTTTGAGTGGGGAACTTATTATTGCCTTGGTTCAACTGGAAAAATTATGCAGTGAGCATCATTTCTGCAAAATACTGCACCAAACAGTTTTGGTGCTCTGCAGAGCGATGAACTGATATAGTTTTGAAGGTTTTGAGATGACAGCGAGATCTTATCCGGCATCTTTCAAAGCTTTAATTTGGTATGCACGCTGTTAAACAGCACACACAATTTGTGTAAGAAACCACATTTGCGATTTCATTTCATACATTTTGAAGGAGCCGATAATTATTTGTTGTGACGCCAACTTAAAATGTCTGACAGAAACATCTGTTCTGCAGTCTTTATCTCCGTTGCAAACTCTGTGGGTAATGTCACTAAAACCACAAGTTAAATAGGGGTGTTGTCAAAAAAATTATTGTTTCAAATCACCAGATTTCTCATGCTAATATGCCGACATTAGCAAGCGTGCGGACATTTTATAGATTACACGCAGAATTTATAATAAAGATCAAACTCTCACTTCTAATTCTCAAATTTCTCAAATGCAAAACAGAGCCAAGCTGCAGACAATTCAACCCAAATAGGAATTTAAGTCTGTCAGCAAATCTAAGTGGAATTTCTGTTTAACTTAGTGAAAACACATTTATCCTTGTCATAATGGCATGCTGGAAACCATTTGGATATGACAAATGTTCACTTTCTTGGTGTTAGAAATACAAAAAAATTACATAAAAGAAAAAAAAACAAATGAAGAAGAGAGTGGGTGCAGTTTGGCGGGCGAATAGTTTTACGCCTTGGCTCTTAAGGTAAATTTGCAAAGCTGGCAAAAAAGTATGATTTGAAAGGGAAAACAAAACGCCTATCAAAATGTTTTAACCCTGTGTGACCTTTTGAGCTTGTGAACTTTCACATGCTTGCATGATGGGGTGAGAGGACGGTTGGGGAAGGAAGCAGGGCTGCTCCTCCTGGCAATAAGCCCTGCCCCAGAACGACACTTCTTATCTGCTATTGCACACACACACACACACACACACACACACACACACACACACACACACACACACACACACAAGTACAGACTAACTCATTTCACTTTGGAATACACACTTTTCTTCACATAGGCTTGCACCAAACCGTTTTCATTCTATGCTTATGGAATAAATTTAAACACTTTCTTTCCAACATGAAAAAAAAAGTACATGTATTTTTCCCACTGTAAAAACAAAATCCGTTATTAGTGCGCCCCTCCATTGTGAAGTTCGTTAAACCACAAACTGAAATACCTAGACCAAGAACCAGAATCTTGACTTGCATGCTTCGACCACAACAGCCAGCCTCTGTTACTGTAATGGTTTGATAAGCCAACTGAAATGTGATTGCCTATTGCTCAAAAACATCTGTCAGGTGTCATTTGAGGTGATGATAAGTGGTTTAGCAAATTCCCAAAATGACTCAATGTGTAAACTGTGTGAAAACTTTGTTTGGACCATCTAAAGCTAAAAATCAAAAGTGAACAAAGCCTGTAGAGATTTCAAACTTTCTCCACTTCCTACTTTTGGGTTGAATGGCTTGGACTCGACATAATACAAGGTGGACATTTAAGTTCCCTTTCAATACTGATAAAAAAAAAAAAAAATATATATATATATATATATATATATATATATATATATATTTATGTGTGTGTGTATAAACATAAAAAAAATTGTTAATGATTATCAAAAAATCTTAGATTCAACAGGTTTTTAACAACTATGTATAGTGCTGAGACATCCACGCCTAACCAGTGAGATAGCGGAAAGAATTCCCAAACATCCCAGTTTACGCAGATTTAAAACGTGAACCCTTATCATGACCTCTGAGTTAGAAATGGAACAACTAGCCCATTAGTATAAAATCTATTCTTAAATAAATGTGTTGACAATTTGTTTTATGGGTGAAAGTTAATTATGAGAAGAAGAAGTTCAAATTAATTTCAAACTGAAAGGAAACAGACAACCACCAATGCGTGAAGGCAAACGTCAAGTAATCACGTGTCGTTGCTATTAGGGGAAACTCTGGGTCTTCTGGGTTCACAAGAGGTACTTTCCAAAAGCAAGAGAAATCATGATCAGTGATCTAACGCATGAACACTGTGCAGTTAGTGACTGTAAAGATAACTTAAACTATGATTAAAACATTAGCTTTGGTAATGTGCTATGATTCACTGGCCTTTTAACATGCAGCCTATGTTGTTCAAGGGATTGCTTATAGTTGGAGACTATATTCATAAAGCTCCATAAACTGTTTTGGGGATTTAAAAAAAAAAAAAAAAAGCTGCAGCAAATTGCAACCGAAGCAGAATGCAACATCTCTGAGCAATTTCCAATCCTGCAGGTCATCACATCCTCATGACTGCCCAGCAAGCCTTCATGTCAGTTTTTAACACAACGGGTCTTTGCATGAGCTAATCCAAAGCTACAGTGCCGACCGCAATCACGGGCGACTTTGGAGGAAGGTTATTTTTGTCAGGCAAATTATTTGTGTTGGCTGAGAAATGTTTCGACCGTTACGCTATGGAGAGGCGAAGCCTACCAGTGCTTCTCAAGGCACCACAATGTCACACACTCCTAGGAGGTTCCCACGGTTAATAATTGAGGAGAAGGCCCACGGGATCACAGGTCCTCCCTCTACAATACATTGCAGTGGCTGTGTGGTGTGTTTCCACATTTTTCCCCTCCTAAAGTGTGGTTAATTCCCAGAGAACAATTTGAAAACGCAACATGTCTGTTATGATCGGATGTAAATGTCTTTTTCCCAGCCTCACACCAAAAACAACACGCAGATGGCACCTGATGCCTAGGAAGACTTAGTGACTCCAAGATGTAACTATTTGCTGTATTCTGTAGCTTTATTGAATTTTTTTTATATATCTTTGTTACAATCCGGCTCATTGTGGGTGGTGACAAGATGAATAAGGGTCCTCATCTAGTCTTGTGACCAGTGGTTGAAAGAAATGGGCTTTTGTGTCATTTTGTATTTATATCCCAGGGAAACAGAATGTCACGGTTTACTAATTGAACATTTTTAGGAACTCTAACAAATGCAATTTTTTTTATACATGTATTTAAACTTTACTTTTCAAGTTTTTTAAAAATTCATTTTAAAAGAATGTTGGCGTCACACAGCAGCGAATTGTTTAGGGATGTAATAATGGATGCTGCCATTTATGGATCGATTTTATTCAGCAAGGAGAGCCGACAATGTCACGAGACTACAGAGTCAAAAGAAAGCACAGCTGATAGCAACGGGACGCGCTTCGGTGACACAGACTTCTTTCATACGTTCAGATTGATCAGAATTATAATTTTCAGCCATTGTTTTTGCCTGTAATTAGCATGACTAGCTTCTGCTGGTGCAGAATTATGGCAAATCCTATGTTGATGACGTAAAAGTAGGACAAAAATAATTTTATTGAGACTCCAGTTGCTTTCCAAACTATTGGATATGTGTCCGATGTAGTACCACATATAGAAAGTGGCAGAAATTGGGATTTTATGAAAGGGGGACACGAAGGAAGGTTGGAAATCTTTGCTTTGGTCTGTTTAGACTATTGTGAAAAAGTCAAATATGGGTCCCATATTGGGAAAAAGAAATCAGATTATTCGCGTTGCATTTGCTTGTTGTCTGAACATAGTCTACACAACTACTCTAAAGGATAACCTAACATGTTAGGTCCTCAACACTGCAATTAATGCTCAACCTCATTCAGCAATAATTAGAGACAATCAGTCTACAGTGCTCACCTATGTCACAAAGGGGAAAACACAGGACGGTGAGAGGAGACATGGGAGGACAGCAGCTCTGCTCCCAGACATTGGACTCCTGTTCAAACCACCCATGGGACTGTTTTTTTTTTAATAAATTTTAGTTTTAGCTTATTTTTGTACTTCCCTATTTTTCTTTGTTGCACACCAGTGGAACTTGGTTAAGAGTTGAGGTTAAGAAAATGTTGTGCTTAGACATTTGACACGTTTTGCAGAAAGTATTCCCATGCGAATGCGTCCCATGGTATTCTGGGACATGTACATCTAAAAATTACTCAACAGGGGCAGGTTGTGCACTGGAAACCAGTATGGGCGCTTGACCAAGTTTCCATGGAGCATGTGATTATATTGGAATAAAACTGGTTGGATTTACACAGGTTTTTTTTCCCCCCTTCTTGTAGTTTTAATTTCTGCTCATCCTCTCGCGAGCCTAACAGAGATATCCACACCACATACTCTGGCCGGATTCCAAAGACATTTCTAAATGTGAGGCTTGTTGGCCGTGTTTGCTTCTGTGCACACCTCACCTCCTCCTGAACATTTCGGCGAAGATGCAGCCAACGCTCCACAGGTCCACCGGTGTAGCGTAACTGGACTGGAGCAGCACTTCAGGAGCTCTGTACCACAGCGTCACCACCTGCACCGCAAAACAGCAGAAAAAAACAAACAAACTACTGAGCCTTCATTGTAAGAGCACAAAGAGTTGAACGCTGATGGACTGCCAGCAGCATTAGGTAAATGTCATCGTCGATGCGGGCTCACACACATACGTACGCACAAGCAGCACACTTAACACACTTAAAAGCTTTCGCCTCCATCTTGGCCTTATGCAACAACATGAAATCATATCTGGCAGGACATGCCTCCAGCCAGCTCTGATTTACAAGTCTCTGTTTTTTTTTTTTTTTTTTTTTTTTTTTTTTTACAGACGCTACAAAAAATGTTTTAAATTTTTTTTTAAACAGGAAAAAATCCAACCCCCCCACAAA